TGGAAGAGCCACAGAGGGGAGTCCGGGGTGGGAGAACCTCCTGGGAGAGGGTGGGGTGCAGAGGGAGGGCAGGGAGGGCCCCAGAACGTGTTTCTGTCTGTGCCTGCAAGTGCAGGTGCATCACCCCCGGTGGCATCAGCCAGAGCTGGGGAGCACAGCACTGGGAGCACAGGATATTCCAGCTGGGAAGGGGCTCGGTGCCGGGACAGCACTGGGAAGGGGGAACCCAGTGGATCCTCTTTGTGTAAGGAGCATATTTCCACCCTTCCACACTGGAACCCCTTGTCAGAATCTTCAGTCATGGAATGGTTTGGGAGGGAAGGGACCCAGTCCCACCCTCTGCCATGGGCGGGGACACCTTCCACGAGCCCAGGTTGCTCCAGCCTGGCCTTGGACACTTCCAGGGATCCAGGGGCAGCCACAGCTTCTCTGGGCAACCTGGGACAGGGCCTGCCCACCCTCCCAGCCAGGAATTCCTTCCCAATATCCCATCTAACCCTGCCCTCTGGCACTGGGAAGCCACTCCCCCTTCCACTGTCCCTCCATGCTCCTGCCTTGAGGGGTTTCCAGCCCATACCTGCTGACCCCACCTGATGTCCCCAAGTCCTTGCGTTCCCTGAACCCCTGTGGCTGTTCCCTTTCCTGCCCCAGCCGATGCTGCACAGTGGGATCAGCTGCACCCACCTCTTCCTGAGGGATTTGGTCCTTCCTTCGGGATGCTCAGGAGGCTCCTGCTCCGATGTGTCGGGGCTGTGGCTCTGCTCGGGTGGCTTCTTCCGACAGCAGTGAGAGAGGGAACTGATCCCTGGTGTCAGGCTGGATACTGGGATAGGAATTGGGAAGGAATATTGGGAAGGATATTGGGAAGGAATTCCTGGCTGTGAGGATGGAGAGGCCCTGGCCCAGGTTGCCCAGAGAAGCTGTGGCTGCCCCTGGATGTGCCCAAGTCCAGGTTGGACGGGGCTTGGAGCAGCCTGGGCTGGTGGGAGGTGTCCCTGGGCAGGGGCTGTGTCAGGGGGACTCTGGAGCATCCCCTGGTTTGGGGCTCAGGGCTGGAAGTGCCCCTCAGCCCAGAGGGTGGGATCCAGCACATCCCATCCTCTCTGATCTCCCCGGCACAGGGGTGGGGCAGCTGCACCCAGGAGATGCCAGACCTGATCCGTGGGCTCTTCCTGCCCATCCCTGAGGACATAATCCCACTGATGGGGATTTTTTTGAGCTCCTGCTCTTCCGGAGTTGCTGCCTGGGGGATGTTTGGAGCAGAGAGTGCCAGGGCTGTGTGTTCCTGGTTGGATTTGTGCTGGGCCTTCGTTAAGGTGTCACTGCTGAGCTGGTTTGAGGGGCTCTGTGGGCCCTGTTTGTCCCCACCCACTGCGTGTTTGGGGTCTGCACTGCCCAGGATTCGGCAGCTCCAGGAGGTCCCCACGGGAGGAGCTGGTGGGATGGTAGTTCTGCCTCAGGCCATGCCCAGGGACACAGGACTGTGCCCAAAACCACCCCGACTGCCAGCATGGAGCGACACGGGGGCGGTGGGGTGGGGACATCAGCCCTGGGGGCCCGGCCGGGCTGTGCCAGCCGCCCTGGGGCAGGGAGGGACATTCCCTGTGCGGGTGTGTGTGGGCAGGGGAGGCCCTTGGGAGCTTCCACGTGGGACGAGGGGGGTAGGGCATCGGCCGGCAGCACCGGTGGTCCCAGGGGGTGCTGGCCCCGCGGTCCTGGTGTCCCCCATTGCCCGGGAGCTCCTCCCCAGCCTCCAGCCGCCCGGGCCGGCGGCAGCTCCTCTGTTGTGTCCCTGGGAAGGGGCCGGGGCGCCGGGACCTCCTCCACCCCCACGCTCCATTAGCTCTGCACTGTGGCTCTATTGTGCTGGGGACGCGTGAGGGCCGTGCCACCGAGGGACTGTCCTGCCCCCGCGAGCTTCCGATGACTCCGAGGGGTCCGAGACCTGCTGGCCCCGGAGCGGGGGGGACGCGGCCCGGCCGTGTCTTACCCCGGGGTCCCGCCAGCGCCCGGCCCGGCCCCGCTCGTGCCGCCCCCCGCCCACCGCGCTCTAATCCGAGTGTCTTCCCATCCGTCTCCTTCCCTCACCTCCGTCTCCGTCTGTCTGTCTGTCCCTCACGCCTCTCTCTGTCTCTCTCTCCCCCTCTGCTCTGCCAGGGAGGGAGGGAAGGGGGGCTGCCCTCCCAGCTCAGGGGGGGACCCGCGGGCTGGGGGCCGGGTCCCACCCGAGGGAGGCAGGGGCAGTTTTGGGGCAGGGGGATCCCGCGGGGCTTCAGCCTGGGCTCGTTCCTGACCGTGGCCAGAGGCAGGTTGGGGGGGGGTGTCCCCAGCTGGGTCCGTGCCCAGAGATCCAGGGCCACCAGGAGCCACCCTGTCCCCTCACGGGGACCCCAGCACGGCCGGGGACCCTCCCCCTGCCCCGGCGAGGGAAGGGTTTGCAGGTGGGGACATAAATTCGGGTCTGAAGAGCATCTGCGAGGAGAACCCAGCACGTCCCGTAGCTCAGCATCCCCGGGAGAACCAGCACAGGGCAGAGCCGGGCACGGCGAGGGGGCTCAGCCCCGGGCTCTGCACTCCGGGCTACCGTCCCCAGGGTCCCATCTCTGGGGTCCCACCCATGGGGTCCCATCCCCAGGCTCCTGTCCCTGGGGGCCCGTCCTCGGGTTCCCAACTCTGGGCTCCTGTCCCGAGTGCCGTCCCTGGGGTCCCGTTCCTGGGGTCCCATCCCTGGGGTCCCATCCCTGGGGTCCCATCCCCGGGGTCCCATCCCCAGGCTTCCGTTCCCAAGAGTTCAGTTCCTGGGCTCTCCTCCCCAGGCGCCCTTCGCTGGGCTCCCAGCCCCAGGGTCCCATCCCCAGGCTCCCGTCCCTGGGCTCCCATCCCCAGGGTCCCAGCCCCAGGCTCCTGTCCCGCTCCCTCCCGGCGCTGCAGGAATTTCGCTCTCCCCGGGAGCGGCAGGCGGGGGCGGCTCTGCGCAGTTCCCCCGGCGGAGGATGGATCTCGCTTGGGCGTTTATTTTAATACGTCTCTCTCTCTTTCTCGTATCTCTCACTCTCTCCTGGTTCTCGCCTCTCTCTCCCCGGCCCCCCCGCGCTCTCTTTCCGTCCGTGCCTTTCTGTCCCCCCTCCCTCCCCATCCCGTCCCCCCGCTCCCCCCCCCAAGGTCAAGGTCTGGTTCCAGAACCGCCGCACGAAGCAGAAGAAGGACCAGAGCAGGGACTCTGAGAAACGCTCCTCCACCACCTCCGAGTCCTTCGCCACCTGCAACATCCTCCGGCTGCTGGAGCAGGGCCGGCTGCTGTCGGTGCCGGCCCCCCCCAGCCTCCTGTCCCCCGCCTCCAACCCCCTCGCCAGCCCCGCGGGCAGCGGCTCCGGCCTGGCCACGCCGGGCCCCGCGTCCCCCGGGCTGGGCGGCGGGAGCAGCCCCCCGGCCCCGGCAGCCTTCAGCCTGCAGGTCCCGTCTCTCGCCTCCTCGTCCTCCTCCTCCTCCTCCTCGCCGCGGCTGCCGGGGGGGCCGCTGTGCTTCGGGGGGCCGCTGCTGGGCAGCCTGCACGACCTGCCGGGCGCGTACGGACTGGGCACCTCCGCCTTCGAGCCTTACACGCGGCTGGAGAGGAAAGACAATTCTATACCCAGCAAGAAGCCGAGCCCTTAAATCAAAACGAGTGTCAAAAGGTGTCCCCCCCCTCCGCCGTCCCCTGCGCCCCCCGCGCCCCCCGCACCCGGCGCCGGGGCCTCGCTGGGCTCGTGGGATGCGGGAGATGGTTCGTCCCGGTGGGAATGTGCACGCGCGGGGGGGCCGCGCACGCCCGGCCCCCGCCCCAGGCCGGAGCCCTGGATGTCACACGGGGGGGGTCCCCGGGGGTCCCGTGTCACCGGTGCTGCCCCGTCCCTCACCGACGCCGCTGGACCTGCCGCCGCACCCCCTCCAGGTACCGCCCGCGGTCCGTGCCGGGACAGCGGCAGCTCGGGGGGGGGTCGGGGGGTCGACGCTGCCCCCTGGGCTTTCGGTGCCTCTCACGGGTGGGCCCGCGGAGCTCTGATCCCCCTGGACTGTCCCCCCGGGGTCTGCGGTGTTGGGGTCACCCCGGGGGGCAGGAGGGCACCCCAAAAGGGAGAGCGCGGGGTGGCGCCGGGCTCTGTCCCCGCCGGGCCGGGGTGTCCCTGGACGAGGGTCGGGCCTCAGTTTCTCCACCTGCGAAGGGCTGCGTGTCCTGCCTGAGGTCTCCTCGCAGCATCCCGGTGGCCGTGGGCTCCAGGCGCTGCTCCCGTGGGATACTGGTCCTCCGAGGGCACAGCTGAGGGAGGTCCGCCGGGTCCAGGGGTTGGGTGATGTCCCCAACCCCCCAGGGGTCCCTGTGATCGGACCAAGACGCTGCCCCTACTCGTGGGACATCCCCAGGCTCCTCCTCTGCTCCTGCAGAGCCAAAGCACCGCCCTGCACCCGCTTCGGTGCCGTCCCAGCCCGGCAAATCCCTCAGGGACCCCCTCCGACCTCCCCGAGGGGGCTGTGGGGAGCCGGGGACCGGCCACCGTCCTGAGCCCCCCCAAGGAAACCCCCCGAGGGGGACGTGGCAGAGTCGTGGACAGTTGTGACACTGGGATCTGCCCCTCTGGGTCGGGTCTTTGCCACCACCGGGAGCCCGAAGCACCCCCAGACCCACCGCGGGGTGCTGAGCGCTCGGCGCGGGCAGCGCGGGGAGCCCCACCCTGAGCACGGGCCTCGCAACACCCCACACACACCTCGATCCCACCCCCGGCAGCCCCGGGGTCCATCCCAGAGAGGGGCTGAGCCCCCCGGGCGGCCTCTTCCCGCCCGGCACCTGATCCCGGAGGCTTCCCGCGGGGCAGGATCCGGCCTCGGGCACGATGTGGCTCCGTGGGGGCGAGAACCAGAGGGGCGTTGCGTGAGGTGGCCTTTGGGGACAGGGGCAGCGCGGCCCCCCCGGCCCCTGCTGGGGGAGGGCGGGTCCGTGGTGCCAGCGCGGCCTTGGCAGGACGCTCTGAGGGGTCATCGCTGTGACGGGATCGGGGGGACGCCCTGAGCCCCCTCCCCAAGCCCAGGAGCTGCCATGGGGGCTCACACCCCCCCGCACCCCCCAAACCCGGGGGCCGCAGCCCCCTCCCGCCGCCCTTCATTAGTTAACAACGATAATTAACACTGGGCGTCCTCCCCGGGCTGCTGCTCCGCCGGGACCGCTCCCGCACGGGGACGCAGCTCCCAGCCCGCGCGTTCCCGGGGTTTGCAGGGAAATATTTAAAATAAATGATTTTATGAGAAGGTTTCGGTGATTTTTATTTTTTTTTCCTCAAAACGGAGCCTTTCTATGAAATAGTATTTATTGTTCCCTCCCTTTGGAGCTCGGGGGGGGTCGGCATCCCCGGCGCAGGTGGGGAAACTGAGGCAGGAGCAGGGACAGGGTTTGGTTGGGGGTCCCGAGCCCCCCCGACCCCCCCGGCTCAGAGCACGGCTCGCCGCCAACATCTCCGTTCTTCTCCCTGGAATTCTCCGGGTGCTCCCGGGGTGCTCCAACCCCGACACCCCAACGCCGCGTGTGAGGTTTGGGATTTGCCGGGACCCTTCGCCCTCCCCCCCGTCACTTAATTTATATTTATCCCGCCGGTCCCGCTCCCGGCGGGCGGGGGTTGCGGGCGGCGGGGCAGCCGTGCCCCCTCCCGGGCGTGGAATCCTGCCCCAAAACCCCCTTCGGGACTCGCTTTGCTTTGGTTTTCCCTCTTCCCAGCCGAACCGCAGGGATTTTCCAAGCTTTCCAACCCCGCTTCCTCCCGCTCTGGGCTCGCCGGGAGGAACCCGGGGTTTGCTGGAGAAGGGAACCCCCCTCAACCTTCTCGGCTGGAGGAGGTTTGGGGGCGTTTCAGAGAAAGCAAAGCCCAGTTCGGTTTTGGGAGGGTCCCTGACGTGTTTTCCCGGCCCGGAGCATCCTCGTGGCTCTCCCGCATCCTCCTCCCGCTGCTCCACACCCCGAGGGATCCGCGGGAAACACAGCGGGGAGGCCGCGGGCCGCTCTTTCCGCCCCTTGAAACCCAAATGCTGCTTTCTCAGAGGTCCCAGATCGGATCCAAAGCTGCTGCTTCTCCAAAGTTCCTTCTCCAAAGCGAAGCTGTCCCGGGGGTCGGGAGGGGCCGTGGGGACACCCGTTCCCCCCAGTCCTTCCCAATCCAGCGGCTCCTCCAGCCTGAGAGGATCGGGGGAAGAGTTAAAACACCCCAGCAACTACTGGATGTAAAACTTTAAGGAATAATGTGGTTTCTTATGGTTTCTAATGGTTAATAAAAGTCATGTCCTGCCTCCTGCCTCCTCCTCGTCCTCCATCGCCTTTGGGATCCACGGTTGGGAATCCCTCGCCCCCTGCTCCGGGTGCCACCAAACCTTGTGGGTGTCCCCAGCCCCGTGGGTGTCCCCAGCCCCGTGGGTGTCCCCAGTCCCGTGGGTGTCCCGTCTCGTGGGTGTCCCCTCTCGTGGGTGTCCCCAGCCCCGTGGGTGCCATCCCAGGGTGTCATTTCGAAGCCCAGCGTGTCCTGCTCTCCTCAGAGCCCCTCGAGAGCGAATCCCCCCCCTCCGGGGACACTTCTACTAACCCCCCCAGAATGGATTCCCCCTCCACGGGGATACCTGCACCCTTCCCCCCTGGAATAAATCCCTCC